ATTTTCAACTTACACCTTCTGCATAAAGTCGTAAGAGTGCTGCCTACATGATCAGACTTATCTCTTGCCCCAGTGAGCCCTCAGTGTTATGAACAGGCCATTCTTCTTGCCTTGTTACCCTTGAATGTTTTTACCTCTGGGTAGTAATTCCATTATTTCTGCAGCCTTTAAATCTGGTGCTCATTATGTGCTTGGTGTGTCTCCCCAAAATCCATATGTTGAAGCCCTAACACCCGTACATCTCAGGATGTGAATACATTTGGAGATAGAGCCTTTAAAGGGGTGATTAAGTTAAAAGAAGGCCATTAGGGTGGGTCCTAATCCAATCTGACTGGTGTCCTTATAGGAAGAGAAACTTTGAACATGCAGAGACATCAGGGGTGATAATACAGAGAAGAAAGGCCACATGAGGACACAGTGACAAGGTGGTCATCAGAAAGGCAAAGAAAGGGCTTAGAAGTAACCAAACCTGCCAACACCTTGATCTTGGACTTCTACTCTCCAGAACTGTGAGAAAATAAATTTGTTTTTTTTAAAGTAAACCAATCTGTGGTATTTTGTTATGGCAACCCTAGCAACTGACCTCCTGACCACTTAAGTCATTCTTAGCTAATTGTCCCTTGGATTAATAAAATACACTGATTACATTCCTGCAACTGTCTTTCACATCCCTGTGGCAATCTTGTGGTTACCAATTTGTGCTTTCTAACCCCCTCACCTTCTCCCTCATCCCCACCTAAAGCTGAAGCTGAATAATACTGAATGTCAACTATAATTTAATAGAATATCTATTAACATATTCTATTCCTTTTCACTGCACATCTAGTCTGATTTACATATTGTGGAGTACAGAATAAGGAAGAGAGTCAATGGAATTGTAACAGCTATATACGATGTCAGAGGGATAGTAGATTGGGGGAGGGAGGTTATCATTTTGTGAGGGGCGTAAATGTCTAACTATTACATTGTTTGGTACACCTGAAACTAATAAAAAAAATACACTGAGCTTAGGACCTGCTTCTCTCTTCCCCATTATAATATAACTTTTTAATTGTACATCTTGCTCAGTGGTTCTGCTCTGATTTAATATTCATTTTAAAAGAGCCAGTGGTTAGCAAATAGATGGGAATAATATAAAAAGTCATTACAGGGATGTCACAGGTTTGTGAGAGAAAACCAAAGAATAGACAACTGTGATGGGCTGTGATTTGATCTTTGGACCCCTAAACACATCACAGTGTTAGTCCTACGGGAGGCTCAATAGAGGGTAGCAAAACCAGAAAAAATGGTGACAAGGACAAATATTCAACCCATAAGTAAATAAAACATCTAAAATACTAAGCCCCACTTTTCTTCTTTGAAAATTAGACGGTTTTAATTTGTCTAGGAGCTCCAGACTAATTCTTATAGACTGGCAGCCTCAGGGACTGTCCCTGCATGGATTTTAGGGAAGGACTTTGGTCCTGCTCAGATAATATGCCCATCTCTGGAACAATCACTGTGGCCTGGCACTTTGTATGTGTTGAACGAATAGTCCACGTGACATCTCTCCTTGTGTCCCTCATTTCTTGCTGGAGCTAATTATAAGCCTCTTTACTCACTCTGCTTCATTTTCATGTCTTAAAAGTGACAAGATAACAAGACAGGGACTGACCCCGGGAGTATCCCTTGAGACTGGGATGGAAAGTTAGACAGTTCCATCAAGACAGTCCTAGGTGGTAGTGTACTTCCTCACCTTGCCTGCATCCTCCCTGCCTGTCAGCCCCCACTAGGATTAGGGATTAAGCAGACCAGGGGTTCAGAAAGGCAGAGCTAGCTGCATAAAACACATTCCCCAAGCCTCTGACACTCCTGAAAAGAGGGCACAGATTAGTTGGGGCAGACACACTGATTAGTTTTTCAACTATTATGGATTATTGCAAACATACAGAAAGTATACAAAACCTAAATGTACGGCTTGGTAAATCAATATAACACATATATAACAATCATCCAGGTCAAGAAACAGAACCCCAGAAACCCCCATGTTCTCCTTCCCAATCACAGCCCCACTCCTTCCTCTGAAAGTCAACCACTACCCTGACTTCATGGTAATCTCTGTTCTTTATTCCTTTACCACTTAAGTATGCATCTTTTTAAAAAAGATTTTATTGGGGAATTGGGGGAGCGGAACAGCGTTGGGAAATTGGGGAAGGGGAACAGACAAATTGCTGTCCTTTTGTTCTTCAGTCTAGTTGTGGAGGACATTGCTTCACTGGCCCATGTTGGTATTATCATTGCTCTCTTCCCAGGTGAGGCAGATCAGTCGCCAGCCTCTGGATGGCCGCTCACGCCAGCTGCCAGCCACTCACAGTAGCTTATGGCAGCCCACTGCAACGTCACTGCAGCCTACGCCGCCACCGGCAACTCACGGCTGCCTAGCTCCAGGTTGAGCTGTTGTTCACCATCTTAGCTGTAGAGGACGCAGCGTCACTGGCCCTCATGTGGGATCCGAACTGGGGCCCCGCCGCTCAGAGCTGGCGTCCCAAGCCAACTCTCAACCAACCCACCACTCAGCTGGACCTAAGTATGCATCTTTAAACACTAGAGTTAATTTGCCTGTTTTTGAACTTTGATTAAAAATTTGAGGGCCGGCCGAGTGGCGCGATGGTTAAGAACTGGCTTGGGATGCCAGAGGGCCCCGGTTCGGATCCCACATATGAGGGCCAGTGACACTGCCCTCCACAGCTAAGATGCTGAACAACAGCTTAGCCTGGAGCTGGGCTGCCCGTGAGTTGCCGGCGACTGCATAGGCTGCAGCCCCTGTGGCAGTGGGTTGCCATGGGCTACCGTGTGTAGCCAGCAGCCAGCGTGAGCGGCCAGCAGCCGCAGTGAGCGACCGTCCAGAAGCCGGCGACTGATCTGCCTCACCCTGGAAGAGTGCAATGATGGTGCCAACTTGGGCCAGTGAAGCAACATCCTCCACAACTAGCCTGAAGAACAAAAGGACAGCAACTTGTCTGTTCCCCTTCCCCCAATTCCCCAGAACTGTTCCCATCCCCCCAATTCCCCAATAAAAATCTTTAAAAAAAATTTGAGTGAAATATGATAATGCTGGAGTGCTATTCATATTATTTTGGAGAGCCTAAATTAATTTATTCATGTATAAGAAGATATATAGGGAAATATTATCTTTTAAAAATTAAATTTAAAAAGTTTGTATTGTGGTAAATTACACACAATATAAACTTGACCATCATGGGCGTTTTTTAGTATACAGTATATTAATATGAAGTACAGCCACACTTTTGTGCAATCAACCTCTAGAATCCTTTTCATCTTGTGAAAATGAAACTCTGTGCCCATTAAACAAAAAACTGATTTCTCCTGCCCCCCTCCATTGTCATTAAGCTTTCCTCTATGTTTTTATTCAAGGCGTTTTATAATTTTAGATCCATTTTGAGTTGTTTTTGTACATGGTTTGAGGACCAAACTTTATACATTATACTTGACATGTGGATATCCAGTTTTTTCCACACCATTTGTTAAAAAGATTGTCTTTCTTCCATTGAATGATCTTGGCACCCTGTCATAAATCACCTGACCATGTACACAAGGGTTTATTCCTGAGCTTTTTATTCTATTCCATTGAGCCACATGTCGGTCTGTATGCTGGTACCACACTGTTTTATTTGCTGTAGCTTTGTAATTAGTTTTGAAACGAGAAAGTATGTGACTTTCATCTTTATCCCTTTTCAGGATGGCTTTGACAAGATGGCCTTTTGAGATTCCATATGAATTTTATATGCGATGTTGTCTTTGATCCTGACAGACCATCTCCTTGGCCAAACTTTAGCCAAGTTTCTTTGAGCCTTCTTCTCAGCTAGGTCTCCATCTTGGGCCATGAAAAACTACAGACTCACTAATAATTCTGTCTTTCTACTTATACATGAAAAGATTTAAACAAACACAATCATCATTTCTAACAACTCAATCCCAAGGATGACTCACAGCTGCTGTTTTTTCTCACCAATGCCTGATGACAGGTCCCCTTTTCTTGGAGCATTTCCTAAAACGGGATTACACTTTTGAATCCTTCTTCTGTCCCTTTCAGATGTATATGTATCTCTTTCAACTCAGGGGTGTCTTTCTCAAGGACCCAAAATGAAATTAAGGATAGCGCTAGGGTGGCCGGTTAGCTCAGGTGGTTAGAGTGCAGGCTCATAACACCAAGGTTGTTGGTTCAACCCCCACATGGGCCACTGAGTTGCACCCTCCACAAGTAGATTGAAACAACTACTTGACTTGGAGCTGATGGGTCCTGGAAAAACACACTGTTCCCCCAGTAAAATTTAAAATAATAAAAAACAAAAAGGATAGTGCCTCTGTCTCCTAATCTCTGTGGGAAGATAGAATGTTAGCTTTAATAATTATCAGGTAGCAGACAAGGTGGCCCTAATTAATTTACACTGATGAGCCTTTGTCATTTTTTCACTCCCTTGAGCCCCCTCTCACTTCCATGCCTTTTCTCCCATCCTCTCTTTAAAATGCCCAATCACCTCTGTACAAATAGAGGTTGAGTCCATTTCACACTGGACCCTTTTTCCTATTGCAATAATATATTACTGATTAAAATTCTGTCCTTACCACTTCAAGTGCCGCCCAGCTTTCCGTACCTCTGACAATACCACCAAATTGTATATTTTGGAGGACAGTGAGGGGATACTTGGATCTCATGCTTTACACTTGTAAGATATGGGCATTTCAGTAAACGCCATACAACAGGTTCTTTGATTTTGGAGGCTGCCACTCGCACTTCAGGCCACAGCTTGAGGCCACCCCCCTCACAGAGATTATTATGAGAGTTAGATCGTCACTAGGCCAAAGGTGACATGCCAAGGCAATTTTGCAGTGTGGTGTTCAAAGTATGTGATGCTGGAGGACAGGAGAATGAAATCAAGAGCCTTAGAGTGAGGGAGGCAGACAAAATACTTAAAATTCCAGATTTGTCTGCTACTTACATGCTGTTGGCAGTGGGTTTTCATGTCGAGGAATAAGACATGTGGAGTCTGGCTTCCTGGGATGATTTTCCAGGCTTGCCATTTTCTGAATGGCTTTGGGCAAATTTTGTAACTTGGCTGAGCCTCAGATTTCTGATCTGTAAAACAGTAACAAGAGCCCTGATATGATATTTTGAAATGTAGACGTGATAACCCATTTGGCTATTCACACTATGGCTAAAGTATACCAGTATCTGTATTGTGGGGCATGGTTCTGGGAATTTCCCATGCATATTCTCACTGTGGGGTTGTGGAGTGTTGGAACTGGGTCACAGCATAGATTCTGTCTCCTAAAGTAACCCCACAAACCACACGTTGGCTGTCAGTTTCCCATGTGGGTGCCCATCTGTCCAGACCACTGTCCTGACTCTACATCCAGAATCAAGCTTTAGTCAAAGTGGACATGGGTAATGAAGGGGCATTACTGTTCTCCTCGGCTTTTTTCTTTCTGCACTGAGGCTTCCCCATGTAAGAGACATCTCTGCTCAGAAAATAACAATAAAAATGTTAAGCATAAGTGCATACTAGTTACATATTTAAGTCCCACATTTTTTTTATGAGGTGGTCATTATTATTGTCATTGAGTAGCTAACAAAATCAGGTGTTTAGTAAATGACTAGCAGTCTTCAATCTAATAAGCAGTAGAAACAGGAAAGCATTATAGTCAATTTACCAGGTTTCTGTGAGCAGCTTTTCATCACTGCCCACATTTTAGGAACATGTAGAGCTGGAAAGAGCACGTGGGGAGTGGCCCTGCTTTCCTTACCATCTGCCTGTGGTAGCCCAGAACCCGGCCCAAAGGCAGAAGAGGGGAGTGTGACAGACACGGTACCTTGGTTCACTGAAGGTCTAGTGCATCAAACAGTCCCCCAAGTCCAGTGCTAAGAAGACAGGGTGATCATGATAGCACGTGTGCACACAGGGTTCTATGTGCATCATTACTGCACAGAGGCAAGGGTCACAGAACTAAGAGAAGTGCAGAAGAAACAGGCAAAGACACAAGGAAAAGTCACTTGAACTTGGCCCTCAACCCTTTCATCTTCCTGACTGCAAAAATTTGGACCTTTGCCATCTTCCAAAAGCCCAAGGCCGAAGGGCTACCCATTAGAGATGAAGGAAACAATGTGTGCATGTAGGCTGAACCACTCATAGGGACCCTAACCTGCCTTTTCGATGATTTCTTGTCATGTGTGGCTGATAAACTTGCAGCATTATGAAATAATACAAGTCAATTTTTCTATTTATAAGAGCAAAACAAAATTATCTTCAAGAGAAAGAGATACCAGTAAGGCTCATCACCTCTATTTGTTTTAACAACAAAAAACCCTCCAGTTTCCTTTAAATTTGTGAATCATCTTGCTACATAAATGCCACATTGTATGTTCTTCACAGGAAGTAAAATAGTGGTGAATGGTCTAGTAGAGTGAAGATGATGGGTAATTTTTGGACTGAGATCTGACCTTTAGATTCTGTGTATACAGTATTGACCCCCAGAGCCCCTGACTGCAGACATACACTTTGGAGTGAAAATATCTATAAAGCAACAATGCTTTTGCTCTGTTGGTTGTTCACTTCTCATAAACCTAGGACAAATGGTCCCTCCAGAATAGTTTTTAGACAATTAAACAAAGGATTCCATTAGTTAAATAGCAGACATATGCTATTGAGTCTCAGAGATGCACCCTGTACAGATGCTTCTTTGAATTGTTTCTATCCTGATCTTGCTTTTGTGTTTCTTGGTTTCACATGAGGAAATCCCTTTTCAACACAGAATCAGGAACCCCATCTTCTCTCTCCAGGACACTCAGCAGCCTATTCACAAACGAACTGTTAGGGAGGTGTCAAAGTTCAGCCCGAAATAATGGACACCAATGAATTGGTAAATACTAGAAAGGTGGATAAATACAATTTCTGGAAAACACTCAAACAGGAAAACTGCAACATCTGCCTTTCATTTAAAAAGAAAAATCCCATTCAGTCTGGTAAAGATGCTTGAAAAGCTTACAATAATTGAAAAGATTGTTTGAAAAATGATTATGAATGCATTTATAAAAACAGGAATGAAACACATGCACAATGCAAGTCTATGAATCTGGTTATAGATGATATTTATGTGATTTAAAATAATGAGAATTTATACACAGATGTTAAAGATATTTGCATGCCACAACAGAAAGCTAGAACAAATATTACAAGGCCAGGCCTGAAGCGGTAGCGTACATCAAGCAGTACGACTTCTGCACAAACGCGTTCTTTATACAAACTCTCCAACTGACCCCAGAAGAAGAGCAGAGCAGCTGACCTCGTCTGTGCAGCAGACCCCGCAGGGAGGCCCTCAGCGGGGCCTGGGGCTCAGCGGCGCCAGGGAGGCCCCGGCCCTGGTGGGCGAAGTCCGAGGAACAGATTGAGCTCAGACAGATCGTCCGCGCTTGCGCAGGAGGCCCCCAGCGACTCCGTTGCCAGGATCCCACCAGCGCTGGCTTTTGCTGGTGCGATGAATGGAAAGTCTTGGAGGTTCCAGAGAGCGCGGAAAGAAAGAGGAGGCATGCCATCGAATAAGATCCACTGGGAATGTACTAAAAAATAAAAGCAGGGAATGGTGTTGGGGGTATTGCCTAAGATCTAGGAGGATTTTAGAGATATGAATGTCATCTTCTATAGCACCCTTGCTGGGAAAAAGAAATTCAACTTCAAGAAAGGGAAGGGTGGGGAGAGTTAGAGATATACGGAACGAGAATCATGACCTTAGGGAACTATCCCCCTCATTATTGTTAGGCGTGGTGATAGAAGAATATCCTTATTTTGTGAAAATGCAAGCAGAAATGTGTGTCTTACTTATTCTAAAATTGTCTAGTCACACGTGTATATAGGTAAAACAATATGTTGATAATTTTGAATCTGGGTTGTTTGATATGGGTGTTAATTTTACAATTCCTTTTGATTTCAAAAAAAAAATTCCACTTTCATTGTAAACGTTAAATTTTTAAATTCAAGAAAAACGTTATCTGCCAAATTATATATTAAATGTTGAATGTGCTACAATATAGTATCTTGCATGAACTATTTGATTCCATTAAACGTTTTCCAACTTTCTTGAACATAAACCATTTTGAAATCGGTTCCTTCTCTGCTCAGCTGCGGACCAATTTAACCCTCAGCTTTCTGTTAAGGCTGCGCTTGGCCTCCCGACTTTGGACGCCAGGTGGCGATGTGAGCCAGCCGCTCTGAATTTTAGGATCACTGTATCCATCCAGTTTACACCTGCAAAATGAGGGGACAGGAGCTTGCACTCGGATGGGTGTGGGGCTGGGGTGTAAGGGATAGACAGAGGGAGGCGAGCAGGAGCACTCAGGGTCCCTGACGGTCCGCGAGCCGAGAGCCCCCTCTATTCCCTCCTCCTTGCTCCTCCCACGCCCATAACCCCTCCCGGTAAGGCCCAGGGATCTTCCTGGTGGACACAGACCGTCCTCATTTATTCTGGCGTCTTCCTCACAGGCAGACCTCACGGGCAGGGGTAACGTTTCAAGGACTAAGACCCGGACATTCAGAATCCCTCAACACGAAGCGCATCACTCTGCGGGCCGCCCCTGCCTCACGTCCTGACTTCTGTCTCACCTGCCCGGTCCCACCACGGTCCGCCCTTCCTGCGCCTGACATCCTCGCGCCTGTTACTGTCCCCAGCGTTCCTGCTAATGCATCGGCCTCTTCTCGCGCCCTTACCTGTGGTCAGGACACACTTTCCCCTCTCCCCTCCCGCGTCCCCAGTTTGCCTCGCTCACTGCTCCTCACACCTGAGCACATTCTCAGACGTCTCCTCCAAGAGGCCGTCCCGGGGCGTCCGTCCCAGGTCTGACTCCTGTCGTCTGGCTTCCCAGGCGCAACTCTCCACCCATGCTTGAGTTTTCTAAGTTTTCTGCAACCCTGCTGTACTGGAACCTCAGAGGATATGGAAACTTCGTGCCTGTTAATCCTCTGTGAGCTCCCTCCAGTGCAGTGGGCACGGGGTGATGGAAAAGACTCCTTTTCTTGAAGTTCAAAACCAAATAATGCTATTCCAATCTCTGGCACGCCTCACCTCTCCTCCTGTTACCTTCCCTGTAATCCCCCAATTTCTGCAAATAAGAACGGGATTTGAAGCTGTTCCCTCAGGAGGTCAGCACTAGGGGAGGAGGGCTCTGCCTCTGGCTGAGCCAGCTCCTTCACAAACCACAAGTAAATACAGTTTTCTTCTCACCTCCTTCATATTATTAAATTGAACAAAAGAATGAATATATATCTCATTGTTTTCACCTATTATCTTCCCTACTTCCCAATAAATCCCAACTTTCATTTAATCAGAAGAGGATTTTAACTTGAAGATTAAGAGAGGCCCACCCCCCCAAAAGAACTTTAAGTTTTCTTTCCTATAGAAATATTAAGTATAGAAATGTTAAGTCTCCTCCCTAGTTTCTTAGTTCCTTAGTTCTTGGCTTTAATTACTTTTCTAACCAATTTGTAAATCCTAGACTAAAGATTGCTCCTAGCCTGAATCCTAAAGTTCTATCCTCCTGCTTCTTGATTGCTTTGTTAGTCAGTTTCCAAATCCTAAACAATAGAAGTCTCCTGCTTCAGATAACTATTTGAAAGCCTGTGACTTCCTAATGTCCCCCAGGCCAGTAAGCTAAATGCCAAACCCATTCTGGGCCCAGACAACTGACGCCACCTGAGTAACAAGCTGAATAGCAACAGGCTTCATGAGAGCTAACAGATTTATTAATTAAAATCTATTTTTCCTCATTCAGGGACTTTGGGGATACATAGGATACCCCAACAAGGTTGCTGGTCACAACCAAAGAAGCCAACGTGGTCTTCCAGGCGGAACTCGGGACGCCCTTCTCTCATCTGAGATCAGCTAAGGGTGAGAGTTCCGTGAATCCCCCAATAGGCAGGGACAGCTCTACGCCCCTGCCCAGCAGGAAGCAGATACAGAAGAAGAGACCTCATGTCTCTCAGCTGCCCATAGAGATTTCATGGGGATCACGTCTCTCAAGGGGGAAGGCTAGGTAGGCAGATAGAGGCAGACATTGGGTCTCTGCATTCCTGCGCATCCCACAGAATGTGACCACCCGGTGACCTCCGCTCTCCACCCAAAACTTCTCTTCATTGTAACTATCTACCCCTAAAACAAATGGGTACTAGATCAGACCAGTCACTCGCACCTGCACAGTACATCCTGCCAATCACAGGTGCCATTCAAGTGGTTCCACGCCCTTAAGGGAACAGCCCATTCTAGAGAAGGGATAAAAACCCCAAGTCCTGGAAAGTTCGAACCTTTTTCCCTTTTTCCCTTTTTGGACGCCCTGCTCTCTTGACCACTTACTCCTTTATGAGCCTTTTGAGCCTCGCCCTTGTGCGTGGCCTACTCCAAACTCTTTGGAATGTTATTTCTTTTCTAATAATGGGCCCTTGAGCTATTCTGTACTGCTCGGGCCTACTTCTACTCTTTGAAATGTATTATCTTTTCAAATAAACTACTTTTTCAGCGCTTTACTCTGGCATCTCGTTCAATTCCTTGCTCGAGTTGCCAAGGACCTGGATTTCATGCCAAAAAGGGCCCACTTTCCAACAACAGGTCATTTGTCCCTTCCTGCTCTCATGATAGGATATGAACCCTGACTCCCACCTCAGCCTCTTTTCTAACCTCTCCATTTTCAAACCACGGTCTTAAGTCCCCCTGGTGTACCAGGATGCTTCTCACCTCATCTGTACCTCTTCTTTCTTCTGGGAAGTTTGCCCCCTTACATCCAGTAAAAACTTCATCACTAACAGTCAGCTAGCTCTATTATGATATCTCCCTCAATAAGTATTTCCAACTTCCTGTTAATTAGTATGTTTTACCAATTTTAGAGTTTATTTATTTCTTCAGATTTTGTCACAATCCCTGTTAGTCTGGTGGCATCTACGACATGTTTTTATTGTCTGTGCATGGATGACCTTGGCCTGATAGCTTCTGTTGTCACCATCTGGTAAGATCATCTGCATGAAAACTGGCAGAGTGGGCATCAATAGGAAAGTTGGGAATTACACATACAATGTTGCAGGCCCTTTATTAATACAGGTTCCATGGCAATCACGGTATTCATACACTGAAACAGTTTTTATAACTGCATTGTATAATACAAAAATTATTTAAAGATATCATAGATTTTTAAAAGGCCAAAATAAAATTTCTAGAGAGGAAAGTTTCAATGTGAGTTATGTTTTAAGAATCACATTGAATTGGATTAACAGTACGGTTAGACTTTGCAGAAAAAAACATCAGTACACTTGAAGACAGGACAATTGAACCCATCCAAAATAAAAGACAAACAGAAAGAATCAATCAAAATAAAAAGGGCATCAGTGAGCTGTGGGAGAGCTCTAAGCAGACTAATATAATGAGAAAAGGGGTATAAATCTGACAAAAAATTGTAAATCCACAGATTCAGAGACTTGGTGAACCCTGAGCACAAGAAACAAGAAGAAATCGATAAGACAAATTGAAATCAAGTTGTTCTAAATCAATGACAAGGAAAGTAGCAAGAGAACAAAGAACATGTTGGAACAGAGAAATAGAGATTTCTCACTGGAAATAAGACAACCAAGATGAGAGTGTAATGATATTGTTAAAATACTAAAAGAAAAAATGTTGTCAGTCCAGAATTATGTGCAAAGTAAAAACATCTTTCAAAAACAAAGAAAAAAATAAAGACTTTTTCATGGATATATGGGATGAGAGAATTAACCACTGACAGACACTACAAGACGTTAAATTTCAAGCAGAAGGAACACAAGACCAGATGAAGATCTGGGTCTACGCCGATGAATGAAGAGTACAGGGCTTTGTAACTTCATGACTAAATATATAAGATACACCAGGGGTGCCAAAAAAATGTATAATCATGACTTGTATTCATCTTTTGTAATCAGTATGTATTGAGTATTACAATTTTTAAAATGTTTTTATTGGGGAATTGGGGGGATGGGAACAGTGCTGGGAATTGGGGGAAGGGGAACAGACAAGTTGCTGTCGTTTTGTTCTTCAGTCTAGTTGTGGAGGACGTTGCTTCACTGGCCCATGTT